CAATGATATGTAATTTATCATGCTGTCATACACTATTGTCTTAAGGGATGGGAGCTGAAGCTCGACGAGAATCCATGTTTACGTTCCAAAACAGGGATAAACACCTGCAATCATAAGTAATAATTCATTCATTTGCGCACTTATTTCATAAAACCTTTAAACTCAATCTAAATAAATACTAACCTTATCGACCTCCCACCATGCAGGATAAGTTAGCTTGTCCATTGCCCAAATCAAATGATTCATTTCGTGCATTCTTCAAGTGAACGGCGTGAAAAGACGTCGGCATAATTGTATATCGTATATTTTTATTTTTCTTAAGTTTTCTTATTATTAGAAGACGTGTCACCCACGCATCGATATGCTGTTTTACAAAAAAAGCATATTTAGTGACTTACATAAATTTAAAAAAAAAAATTAATCAAATTGAAATATAAGAAAAATATAAGACTTACCCCCCCATCGAAATAGCCATTGTCTTCGACCCCTAATAATACGCCCCACCAAGACCGATCAAGCAACAAATAGATATCATCGGTGAGCTTGCATATGTCAGTGAAACACCCCTGGCTCCGCTCATGTAGATAAAAATCAACAGCGGTCTTAGCCCAAAGGGTGTTATCCAGAATTGTGTCCGGTAGTTGTTCCCTCTCCTCTTCAGATACCGGTATGGTACTGGCCGGTAACTCATACAAGAGCCAACTTGAATCCATCATGTCCGGCACGTCAGAGGGTTTCTCAAGAAGCCTACATATGACGCCATGTGAATCGGGCTCTTGAATGGTGGGAGGGACCTCTTCAATGATGACAGTGGCCTCTTGAACGGTGGGAGGGGACTCTCGAGGAATGATAGGGGGGCCTCTTCAACGATAGGAGTGGACTCTTGAGGATGACAGGCGAGTCGGGCTTCTTCTTGCGGTGTCTTCGCACTATTGGGGTGTACGGAGACTTAATAGCACGTGCACGCTGTCTGATGCGTGAACTCCGTCGTGCAAGCATAACCCGACGTAAAGCATCCACTCTATCGGGCCGCTAAATAATTAAATACAAAATCAGTAAATAAACAGACATGATATTTAAACAGTGAAAACAAAGACAAATATGTTTCAAACTTGCATTGTATTCACCCAAGTCATTATTCTATCATAGTTCACAAAATGCATCAGATAACAAAGAAAAATATGTTTCAACTAATACCCTGAAGTTAGTATTTGTCTTTGTTTTGTCTTTTGGTTGAAAGTAAATTTATCCATTCAAGTTTCAATTTGCAGAAGAAGAAATAGTTTACTTTCGCAACACGAAACTTAAAATCGCAACGCGAAACCAAAATCGCAACGCGAAATGAAAATCGCAACGACAGAATCGCAATGCGAAATGAAAATCGCAACGAAAGAATCGCAACGCGAAATGAAAATCGCAATGCGATTTTGGTTTCGCGTTGCGATCTTGTCGTTGCGATTTTGGTTTCGCGTTGCGATTCTGTCGTTGCGATTTTCATTTCGCGTTGCGATTTTGGTTTCGCGTTGCGATTTTAAGTTTCGTGTTGCGAAAGTAAACTATTTCTTCTTCTGCAAATTGAAACTTGAATGGATAAATTTACTTTCAACCAAAAGACAAAACAAAGACAAATACTATTTCACAGTGTTAAAGAATACACAGTTTAGCAGAATTGGCAGCAACCGAACAAATTTACTTTCAACCAAAAGACAAAACAAAGACAAATACTATTTCACAGTGTTATAGAATACACAGTTTAGCAGAATTGGCAGCAACCGAACAAATTTACTTTCAACCAAAGACAAAACAAAGACAAATACTATTTCACAGTGTTAAAGAATACACAGTTTAGCAGAATTGGCAGCAACTGAACAAATTTACTTTCAACCAAAGACAAAACAAAGACAAATACTATTTCACAGTGTTAAAGAATACACAGTTTAGCAGAATTGGCAGCAACCGAACAAATTTACTTTCAACCAAAAGACAAAACAAAGACAAATACTATTTCACAGTGTTAAGAATACACAGTTTAGCAGAATTGGCAGCAACCGAATAAATTTACTAAGCAATCTAAGTGAAATGGCTAATCTAAGTGAAATTACGAGTAAATTTATCATTAAGTTAAATATGGAAAATCTTAAACTTACCTCGTTGCGTAGAGTATGAACCTCATTCTGCAACGATACTATCATCTCACGTAGAGCGGCAACCTCACCACGTAAAGTTGACACCTCCACACGCCATGCACCATCGTTATCGCGTAGAGTACCGATCTCCTCACGCAAGGCATTGACCTCATCACGTAACTCCCTTGACTCATCCCGTTGAGGTGGAGGTGGAGAACAGGGAGATAGGAGTCGTGGCATCTTTGCCGGTCGCCTATCATGAGGTGATGGTGGAGAAGCTCGATGATGTGACGGGATAGGTGATGGCTCTCGTTCTAGAGGTGTATAGTCGGGTCGATCGGTGATGGCTCTAGGTGAGGTGATGGCTCTCGAATTGGAGGAAGGATGCTGCTCATCATCCGTGCCATCAAAAAAATTCAGACTAGCTTGCCACCAATCATGGCAAGCTCTTCCTCCGTGGGTGTCAGTCTTTGTAATGGAATGTTAGCCTCCTAAAATATAAAAACTCAAACAAAGTTAAACGTCTACTATTAATAACTTGTTTATATATTATATGAAAGTATTTGTGTTAACTTACATTATTTATTGTGGCATATGGTATTAAGTCTTCCCAATCCAACAGAGTTTTCCTCTTCCAGGAAATAGCCCTGGGAATATCATTTGACGTTTTTATTGCATATGTACGCATGCTGGGGAAAGCCTCGAATATCCAAATCTACAAACAATATAATAACAAAATTAGTAATTGTTAAATAATTAATTATAATTTTAGAACATTATATAGAAATTCTTACCTTAAAGGCCCAAACAAAGCCTGACAAAGTGTATTTGGACCCATCGCCCCGCAAACTTTTGCGGTCATCAAAGGCAGACGACAACTTAGTCCAGGTAGCTTTCCATATATACGAACCCCACGGAAACAGATTCCATGCATTCAGGTCCTCTACCAATATTATTAGCTCCCGATGAATAGGTTGTCTGGCCTCTCTGCCTAAAAAGCCGGCATACACAAGTAGTAGAAGGCATACTCGGACAACATCGACGTCATCCATCCGAGTGAAACCAGCTTTCTTATTAAACAATTTCTTCAGGTCGTCGACATGTAGGTTCGGCTTCTCCATTGACTCATCCGGAAAAACCCGGGATAACCATGATGGCGGGCGATATGACGAGTGTACCGGCCTACATCATCGTGTCCGAATCGTAGACCAGTGATTAAGCAGAACTCCTTCCGCCCAAAACAAGTATACGCTGGTGGAAAATGAAACCATATCTCTTCCTCACCACGTTGTATACTGTCGGGTAGATTTGATGTCATGGTCTGAAGCCACAAATGGGTCAAATTAGCATCTCCACCCGGATGCTGTACTCTCAGCCATGGCCCGAAGCAGGTTTCCTCAAACAATTGTCTTTGAGCAGGTGAAAGCTTCTTTGCAATTGTAGTGGCCAGGCTGACTTTATTTCTCAAGGTCAATTGAGCCGAAAAAAATTTCTACAAAAACAATAAACATACCAAGTTAGATATACCAAAAACTACACTGTGAAGATATACCAAAAACAATAAACATAAAAGTATAGTTTATTCTTGAAACTAAAATTTGCAACACTGTTTTGTCTTTTGGTTGAAATGAAAATCGCAACGAGAGAATCGCAACGCGAGATGACAATCGCAACGAGAGAATCGCAACGCGAAATGACAATCGCAACGAGAGAATCGCAACGCGAAATGAAAATCGCAATGCGATTTTGGTTTCGCGTTGCGATTCTCTCGTTGCGATTTTCATTTCGCGTTGCGATTCTCTCGTTGCGATTGTCATTTCTCTCGTTGCGACAGTCATTCTCTCGTTGCGATTTTCATTTATCTCGTTGCGACTCTTCTGCAAATTGAAACTTGAATGGATTGCATTACTTCAACCAAAAGACAGAACAAAGACAAAGACAAATACTAACTTGAAAATCGGAACGAGAGAATAGCAACGCGAAATGAAAATCGCAACGACAGAATCGTAACGCGAAATAAAATCTAAGTGAAATGGTTAATCTATTATTGAAATGACCAGTAAACTTATCATCAGTTTCAATATGAAAACCTACAATAATGCAAACATTTCAAAATAAAAATAATTAAAAAAACTAACCCTCGGAGGTTGATTTTCCATTTCTGAATATTGTGAGGGATTTCTGACCGTGAATGGTTGTGAGGGATTTCGTCGGAGATGGGGACGGAAATCTTCGGAGATGGGGACGGATTTCTTTGCCGTAGAGAGTGAGAGATGGAGATGGGACTGAGTTGTGATTTTAGGTTTTAGGTTATGAGTTGCGATTACGGGATTTTGTCTTAATATTCTTTTTGTAATTTGAAAATAAAATACGCGTAGCGATTATAATGGCGCTTTAAATATCGCGTTGCGATTTACGGATTATCGTTGCGATTTACAGATTCTCGTTGCGATTTACGGATACGCGTTGCGATATACGGATACGCATTGCGATTTACCCATACGCGTTGCGATTTACGGATACACGTTGCGATTTACGGATACGCGTTGCGATTTATGTGTTCGCGTTGCGATTTTCATATTCGCGTTGCGATTTTGGAAAATCGCAATGCGAATTTGTACTATCGCATTGCGATTTTCAATAATCGCGTTGCGATTTTGGAAACTGATTTGCGATTCTGGGGATCGCGTTGCGATTTTTATTTCGCGTTGCGATTTTGTTGGTCATTTTGGCAAATCCAAAAAAAGTTGGTTAAAATCGTATATTATAACTTTTTTTTGGTCACTGAGGCGATTTTCTCTTTTTTCTATTCCTTAAAAAATATCTTTTTTTTTCTTCTTTTTCTTCAGTTTTTAAATATATTAATTTTAGGTATATTGATTAGGTTTGTTAACCCTTTTTTAATTATCATCTCTAATCTTTTCATCAATCCCTTTGAATTGATGGTGTGATTTTGAATTTTTCTTTCTTTCAATTTTTGAAGTTAAACATCTGATTCTGGATAACTCTTTTGAGAGAATCGGGTGGATTTAAAGTTTCAATCATTTTCCGATGAGGAAAGGGAGAGTAGCCGCCGCAGAAACCACCTTAGTGATGAAACCGGTGGTGGAAACCAATGGATCTGCGAAAGAACAAAGATACAGAGGTGTTAGAAAAAGACCATGGGGAAAATTCGCGGCAGAGATCAGAGATCCATGGAAAAGAGCCAGAGTTTGGCTAGGGACCTTCAATTCAGCCGAAGAAGCCGCTCGAGCCTACGATGCGGCGGCGATTTCTCTCCGTGGAAACAAAGCGAAAATAAATTTCCCTTTAAATCCCTCCGATCCCCCACCTTTTCATCGCCGGAACGACGAAGGCTGCGTCGACGACCACCGGTTATATCCGACAGGAGTTGATTATAAAGATCCGGAAGAGATCCCGCAAAGACCGGCGAGGAGTAGCATGAGTAGTACGGTGGAGTCGTTTAGTGGGCCGAGACCAGCCCAACCACGGTCAAAACTGTCGGATTTCGCGGTGGTCACGACTCCAAAGTGTGCACCTCCACTGGTGCCGGAGGATTGTCATAGTGACTGTGCTTCATCGTCGTCGGTTGTTGATGAAGGGGACGACAACGCATCGTCGTCTTGCCGGAAAACTTTGCCCTTTGATCTCAATTTTCCGCCGTTGGATGAAGTCGACGATCTCACTTTATATCTTTGATTCCATATCTCACGTCCGATGATCTGAAACTCTTTTTCGTCTGCAGATCTTTCTTCCTGTATGAACAATTTGTCTAATATAATCACTAAATAAAATTGGTCTTTGATTCTATGATTTTGAACGTCATTCCTTCCAATTTTACGGTTAATCTTTGCAGTTAGTGATAATATTGCGATTAAGTCACCGTTCAAAATTGATTTTAATAATTTTTACGATTGGTCACGGATTCATATTAATTTTAGTCGATTGCATGTGTAATTTAACGAAAAATAAACGATTACGTCGATAACGGGACGAAACAATCGTGATTTCAAGACTAAAATAAAAACCAGTATTCCCTACATAAACATTGGTTGCGTAGATTTTTTTTTCAGATAATGATGGGGAAGGGGGAAGGGGGAAGGGGAGGAGAAAGGGGGAGGCATAAGGTCAGAACTAGGAAGGTCGGGGAAGGGAGGCAGAAAGGTCGGGGTAGAGGGGTGATTTATTTCTTTCTTTTTTTAAATAATCTTTAAAATATAATTTTAAATGATATATTAATTTGATATCTCTCACACTTTTAGAATTTATAATTTAATCTCTAGTTTAAAATATAAACTTTAATTTGTTTTTAATTTAGTCTTAATTTTAGTAATCTAAATTTATGCAATTTAAATTTTATAATTTTATTTTAATTATATTTAATTTAAGTAAGTTGTGCGGCATTTAAAAAATTCAGGACCGCGATACCCGCAATGACAACCGTTATGTCTGCAACTGTAATAAACGCGACACGATAAAAAACGTTACCTCGAACGCAATTTAAAACCCTATTCTGGGTTTCTTCATCTTCTTGTTGTAGATCTTTCTACATTGGTTTAATTACACAGAAGTCACCAAATTATCGAATTTAATTTCAAATTAATATCTACAACTCTAAAATATTCTAATTATGTCCTCAAAATATCAATCAATTCTTTCACATTATCATAATTAAATCGTAAGTAAAAATACATTTTAAGTCACTTAATTATTAATTCTTAAAAAAATTATCTTCCTATTAGGTCAACAATCAGATCTAATTTATTGTTATGATTTAGTAATTCAAATTACTGTTAAAAATAATAATGATATAATTTGATATAATAATAACTTGAATCTTTAAATTTTATATAATTTATTTACAATTAAAAATTATGAAGTATTAATTTATTTCCATTTTTTATTACTTTTTTTCAAGAAATTGATATAATAATACTACCTCTCACTCAAAACATTCCTTACTGACTTTTTGTACTCAATTATTTTAAAAGCTATACATTTTAAAAACCTTCAATCAAATAGTTTTAAAATATATATTTAATGAATTTTAACTTTTAAAATATTTAAAAAATAATTACGGTTAATAGATCCATTCTAACCATTGCTCCAATAACACTATGTCAAACTAACCCTGAAACCTCTATTTACTTTCATTGAATACTAAATCCGTTCGACCTCGAAGACGGTATCGATCATACGAGCACAACAGACCTCCAAAGATCGTAATCAAGTCGGACCGACCATCATCCGAGACGGAAAGAGTGTACAATTTTCTCCTCCAGTCCAAGAAATTTTCAAAGCATGAAATTAAAGTGCATTTGTCTAAACTTTGTTCAGTAGAGTTCAAGCATTCTCTCCTGCAATATTTGGCCTAACTTCTTATATAGAATTTGCTGCTCTTCCAATGTAAGGCTGCGTGATACCTAGAGTACACGGAAACAAATCATAAGATCATATTCGATTTTCGTACGAGAAGATCTGCCATGTTCCTGAAACTAGGAAAGAAGAAGCGGGGATGCTATCTTTCAGAAAGCTCTCAGATATGATGAGATGATCGAAGGGGTTACCTCGTTTATTATCATCTCGACCGTGTAGTCTTGGGGAACAATGAATGACTGATGATAGATGTACGCAAAAACAGCCATTACCATCTGGAAACATATATACAAATATTTGAACTGTCAAAAAATTTCTCGTATACGAAATAAGAGAGAACTATAGCACGATTGTGTTTCGGAAACCAAGTCAAACAACTAGCAGCTTGCCTGGCAATCCATTCTGTCAGTAAATCCTCCATGTCCAGGTATACTATCACCGAAATCCTGCATCACCGGAGAAAAGGTTGGTCAAGAAGGTTCAAATGAGTATGGCAAAGTGCATTAAATGTCCCTTTTTCCACATATTTTAAAACATCAAAACAACAAACAATGCGTTGCACCTTAATCTTAAAAGCTCTCTTGAAACCACTTGCGAAAAAACCACCAAATGGTGCGATAATCGAAGCAAACAAACTTTGGCATAAAGCATGCCACTGAACTGGCAAAATCGCTATCTCTTCCAGGGCAACTGCGATGTGTTAAAACTAAATTATCAAACTGGTCGTATTTTGTTGGACAGATTAGTACATAAATAAAACTAAAAACATCGATAACTAAGAAACATTTACATAACAGAGTTAAAATAGAATCAAATTCTCCCATTTCTCGATCACTCACCACCCATCCAGAAATCCATTGTGGCAAAGGATAATACTCCGGCTTAAAAAGTGGACCAGGATCACAGTGAAGCCAACCAGTTGATAAATCCTGCATGCATTTCAGTCATATGGGCATTATCAAAATAGCGGTGGCCTTTTTTGTTTAAAAATGAATGAATGCATTCCGCGGTGAGTTACCTTCCTAGGACATGTCAACCATTGATATCGGCCAAAGACATTTGCAAGCTGCATAAAAGATTCCTAGTAAATAACACTGACATATCATGGAATGAAAAGTTGTTCAAAGATTCAATCTATCTCCCTTTGATCTATAGGCTTTCGAACATTTACAAAATTTCTTTTTTAGTTGATGATCATGTACACCGATTACCCTCAGATAATCGAAGTACTAGATTAAACTGACTGATTTTTATATTCCCTATATCATGTGGCAGAGTCAAAAGAACATTGATAGCACAAAGGAAATATGAATAGTGAATCTTTATAGTTTCGATTCTGTCCAAAACTGAGAAAGTTAAAGACTTAAGAACAATGTAAAAACTCTAACCAAAAATGCCGAGATCGTAGTTGCAACTGAGGCCCCAATGAAACCCTCCCATGTTTTCTTCGGAGATAGCTTGATCAAAGGAGTTTTCCCAAAAAAGAAACCAAAGAAATACGCGGCGACATCATTGACAGCAATTAGTGATGCTGGGAGAAGGAACCTGAATAAAATCCAAGGCTTGTTTCGACTTCAGTAACGGGAAAAAGTACAGGAATTAGTAACCAAGCTGTTAAAGACTAATTAATGAGGTTTGCATGTTACCAGAAAATGCCTTCAAAAATGTTGGCCACAGTAAATGCGGACTGCGTGAAGACAACGATGAGATCATATGTGTCCATGCAAACTGCCCAAATTGATATTTATACATCTTCTTCTTTAGTGTAAGAATGAACCACATGACACCTGAATCCGAAACAAAATCGAAACCTTCTCAACTGGCGGAGAATATAAGATTCATAACTCAACAAGCTAACTGCACTACTGCAGTGCAGGCAGATAATAACGGAATGAATATAAAAGCCACATAAGACTATCACGAACCGACTCAAATTCCATGGAAAAGAAAGATAACCAGACAAATTAATCAACTCCATCATAATTGAAGGTAAGACAGTGAAAACGAAATAGTTGTTAATGGGCTTAAACGTATAATGAATGAGTGTGCATAGCTTATTTTCAAAGGCAAAATAAATACGAACCTGCTATGTATAAGAAGTAACAGATAAACATCTGATACTTGATGAGCTTACTAACAAGCCTATAGAAAATTTTATCCAGAGTTACTGTGTTCACAAGCTGGTGACTGAGAATGCGACCGTATACAAACAGCATAGCTGTGAAGTAGAAGTGCCTGCATGGACATAAAATTCCACCAGAAATATCAGTCTCCGAGGTGCTACCATAGTATCAAGTTTGCGTCACAATTTTTCTTACCAGTTCAAGATCCTGAACCCCGGCAGGCGTTTATCTTCATGAGCTCTTCTGAGAAGACTGAAGAGCTCACTTGCCATGAATATTGGATAACAACAACCATCGCCAAAATATAAAGGTGCCCCAAATAGACAATCAAGAGGAATCCCCCCAGCATCCAAATAGATGAGCATGCACGTATCCACATCGATCGATATTTGTTGTGATCATTGACGAGCAAATGATCTCCATTCGTTTTGTTAATCTCAACATTAAACTGACATCAAAGAAAACACTCACACTTTCATACCGAGCAAGCACATCCAAACGTGCCATAGATGTTCAAATGTCAATTAAGTTCCGAAATCCATAATACAAGCAAAGTGATCAAAGGGCAAGTCAAAAAAAGGGAATAAAACCTTGATGTTCATTCATTGCTTACTATGTAACCTATCAGTGTCACCAAGACTCCTCATTTTCTCTAAAGCCCCTACTCGACAACTGTATCCTACGCCGAACATCGTAACGGGCAACATAGCAACTTATTGGAACTAGATCAAAATCTTAATGAGGCATATATTCATGTAACAATACATACCTCATTGGAACGTCTCCGGTGCCGAACTCGACCGGAAGTAGGTGTAGTTGGTCCTCGGGCGGAAGTAGGTGTAGTTGGTGCAGAACCATGTTCCTTTTGCATTGCTCCTTTCACTATACCACCAAATCTAACCAACTTTAACACAAAATAAACACCCCCTGCCCAAAAAAACACATTTTTTCACATCAAAACATAGAAATTTAAAGCAAATGATGAAATTTTAACTAATGATATCATGCATTGATCACCTAAGGAAATACCCATTTCTATACGTATTTTCATGCATCGAAATGGGACCCAAAATCCGACATTCTTCAAACATAAAACGCAAATGAAGATTCATACATAAAATGAATTGTTAAACAATGGCGGGGGAAATGGAAACCCAAAATCTATTGCCCATGATTACAAAAAAGAAAGGGGAATGGTGTAAGCTTACAGTATCGAATCTGAGATTTTTTAAACGTCTTTTTGAATGCAAACCCAGAAACGGTGAATGATCGAATCGATTGAAAAGAAGAGAGAAAACATGAAATGGAAGATTAAAGGATCAAACTTTGGGCTTGCACCGATTCGTGGGAAACAAACAGAAAGTGGAGAGTGAATGAACAATGGAAAACTCTTTCTTTCTGGACCCAATGACTTGGAACTTCCATGATCTGCCACGTAAGCTCCTCGAGAATCAATGTAGGTTGTTGCCACGTGTAATCATCTATCGGGTGAATTCACGAGATAATGTTCTCGAATTTTTTTTTTCACGATAAGGTGCACGTCCCAGATTAATTACTGGAATGGGGTGAATTCTACAGTGGCCTTGGAGGTCGCCATGGCATCCGGATGACCTTGGAGGTCGCCATGGCATCCGAGCGACCGACCTGTGTGTATTTTGCAAAGGAATAGGTCGCCATGCAATCAACATGGGACGTGGGAATGCATGGGGGAGGGGAGCGATCGACCTGTGTATATTTTACAAAGGAATAGGTCGCCATGCAATCAACATGGGACGTGGGAATGCATGGGGGAGGGGATGCATGTTGTGCATGGGACGTGGGAACTGTGCATGGCCATGCACGTCGAACGGTGTAGGTCACGGCGGCGTGGTAGGTAGGTCGCCATGGAGTCTCTTCTCCCTTTCTTTCTTTTTTTTATAACCGGCTGCCTCAATTATTTCACCAATAATTGTACAATTGCAGCTATGATAGCATCAGTTGATTTCACGCAGCAATGGTTCAATTATTGTACCAATAATTCACGGCTCAAATGGTTCACATGCATGCATTGGCTCAAATGGTTCACATGCATGCATTGGGAGCTGTAGGCATGCAGCGGGGAGCACGTGAAGGAATCTATGTGGCTGCATGTGCATGGATGATGGGAATGGCGCCGGGACTACATGGCGACCTACAAGGTCGCCGGGACTACATGGCGACCTACAAGGTCGCCAGGACTACATGGCGACCTACAAGGTCGCCTAGGCTGCATGGCGACCTCTCTATTCCTCGTATAAGACTGCATGGCGACCTCTCCCCATTGGCTCGTATGGCTCGTATATGGCTCGTATGTCACCCCGTATGTCGCCTGGATTGCATGGCGTCCTATGGCGATCACTGTTGAATTCACCCCATTCCAACAATTAATCTGGGATGTGCACCATATCGTGAAAAAAAAATTCGAGAACATTATCTCGTGAATTCACCCATCTTCCGATATCCTCTATTTAACCTGGGACTATTAATAGACTTCCAATCCATCTAGTGAATTTTTATTGTGGTTAAACTACACTAACAGTCACTAAATGTTTAGAGTGTATTTACTTTAGTTACCAAAATTGAAAATTTTATTATTCCCTGCATTAAAGAAAAATATATTTAAATTACTGTTCAGATAAACTATTAATAGAAACTGACGAGGTAAATTATAAAATCTAAAAAGATTCTGTCAGTTAACTCCTATCGTCGTTCAGTGATTTCTCCGATCAAAAAGATCATTAAATTATTCTTCTTCTTTTTTCTTCAATTTAATCTCGTAAAAAAACCTTTTAATATTCTCAAATCATAATTCAAACTAAAAGTTAAAATGTTTTAAACTATCATTGTCAACCATGATTCGTGAAATTGATTTAAAATCAAACTATAATCTTTTAGCCAAATGAAATTTTTTTCACCTTTAAGATTAACCAACAATCATTTTGTCGATCGAAAATTTAGTTTTTCTTATGCTGCCAAATTAAAATTTTAGAGTTTGTTTGAAAATTGGACTTTAAAGTGTCACGTTATTTTTTTTAGGTTAAAAATGTTCTACTTAGTTTGAATAAAAATTGGACCAAACCAACCAAATTTGAAACTACTCTTGCCCAAAGCTTGGCACGACTAATGTAAGAATTTGTAATTAACTATTACAGATATATCATTCTATCGTTAAAAATAAAACATACATTAACTTCTTAATTATAATAAAATCACTTTATTTATCAATTGTAATGACCAGATCTCTCAACTTATCAATTATTAAATCAAGTCAAATAATACAGTCGCATGTTTTTAACAATCTAATAATTAAACGACTTGTTTGTAACCTACTGAAATTTAGCGACTCATTAGTAATCATACTAATAACCGAGTGACTTATGATGTAATTTACCCTTTATAATATCATCTTCCGTTACCAAAAACAAGTTCACATAAAAGAAAAGGTTGAAAATGATAGTTGAAATGAAGTGAAATAGCTAATAGCTAATCAAAAGCTATGGGATAGCTCTAGGACTAAGACTACATATGATACACAAAAGCAAATAGCAAGCAATGATCCTAAGATGTGAAACGGATCCAGGCTGCAAAAACCTTTTATACCTGTGTTTGACACGAACGGTTACAATTCCGGAAAATCACAAACAAAATCGATATGTCGTTACTATGTTTACCTGATCCGAGCGGCGGATATAATTTGCTACGTCAACAAATCATGGCATGCTAAGTAAGGAGATGCATAACTGAATTTAACTTGATATAGGCTGAAAGCCTCATTGGAATTCATCGTAAAGCCATCTGCAGGATGAATTGTTGCAGCGTTAGTGTGTTTAATACATGCTATCGAATGAAGAATACACATACTTGCATAAGAAAATTTCCCTAAATCCTTCATTTGCTTCAATTCCCGACTGACTTCGCCTCCCACTTTCTTCTTTGACTTTAGCGGAAGGAAGAACTTCACACGGGCATTGAATCGAGCTTGCCATTACAGTGCTATCATTATTAGATTCATAAACCTACAAAGAGTAACAGAAGGAACCATTGGCAAACCATCAGATTTTATTTGCAACTATGAAAGTCAGCCGATAGAACAATAGTAGGAAAATAGACTACATAAACATGCATGAAGGATTACCTCACTGGTTTCAGGAGTGCATGGATGAGTGACACCCTCCGGCAAATCACTAGGAAAGTAGCACCTTTTGACAACCACCCACTTTGTCCCAGTTTTAGCATCCTCCCACATTGCCTGCAATGAAGATCCAAAATTTTGAAGTTGGTCCGTACGGAACATTGGAACCAGTAGTCTCCTCGTATAAATTCTTTTGAACATGCTTACCTGAAGCTTAGATGGTATCAATTTATCCTGGCCAAAATGAACAAGGGCATGATCATGAACTTTATAAGTTATGCCATCAATGGAACAAGACTGGTAAAACTTTTTCTCATCCACAACTTGAAGTATGTCACCAACCCATTCAACAGCTCGCAAACCATCAGAAGAAAACTCTGGATGCCTTGAAATCTCAGTATTAGCTTCATAATTTGCAGTAGGATTTACTTGTGCAGCTGCAGCACCTTGTTCAGTCTGATCAATCTGTTTAATGCAGTCAATATCTCCTTCCGAACCTTTCTCCAAATTTTTAACTCCGGAACTTTCACCATGGTAATTATTTGATGGAATTTCAGCACAGTTTTGCTGCTCTGTTTGGATATCTTGATTGATATGTGAAGGCTGTGAATGCTCTGCCTTGTCGCTGATAGTGTTAGATGATGTATCCACAGTCTGTGATGTTGTTGTAAGGTCTTTTCTTTCTTCATGATTAGATGATTCAGTCATTTGAGAAAGTTCTTCGGCTTTTTGAGTTACTGTGCCAACAGAAGTAGAATCACATACAGCCTCCAAAGGTTTTGTTGAGTTCCCTTTTGGAACCTTGGAACCTGATGCTGACTCAACAGAGTTGCTGTCAACTGTAGTGAACACAGCAGGAGTCTGCAACGCTGAGCTTCCATTTTCAGTTACCTTCTCATGATTGATCAATGGACCCAGATTTTCTACTTTCTTCTCCGAAGATGACTGAGGTTCAGCTGAGCTAGAAGGCACTTTGGGTACACTGATACTTCTCATGACACGACCGTATTTGGGGGGCAAAGGCTTCCCATTGCAAAATGACAAGCATCTAGTACAATGCCACTCACCTCTAGGGATTCCCTTCGGCTGCAAACATTTCAAGTGAAATCCTTATTGAGAAATAAAACGAGAACAAATAATTTTCCTATAACCAAATTAGTAAGAATGCTAAATAAAAGCAGAAAAATAATATCCGAAATTGATAACGGAGTTCAGCCAATTTTGCTTACGTCTCCGGACTGCTGCAGATATTTTACTAAGAGAGAAAATTTATAGGTGTTTACAAAACACTCACTACTCACAAGAAAACTCTCTAGTATTGGGAGAAAGAAAATGATTTTGGGATTTTGGATGATTTTAAAGCTAAATGAGCTAGGGCATTTATAGTTGAAACTTAGGGACTAATCTTTGAAAATACCCTAAAGTGCAATGACTAAAGTGAATTTACCCATTCCTATTTTCAACAAACATCTACCAAACTTTGAAAAACATTTTTCAAAGTTGGTTGCTAAACTTTGAAATTAACTTTTAACAATCTCCCACTTGAAGACTGATTTTAATTTGTCTTCACACCTCGATCAATGCAACAGTATTTCTGGTCTTGTTATTCTAGCATGCCAGCTGAAGTTGAACACAACTTCAGTTTGTCCGTAGTCACCGTCTTTGTCAACATGTCTGCCGGATTTTGAGCTCCTCTAATCTTTTCAAGTTTCAAAATCTCATCTTCCAGAAGAGATCGGATAAAATGATATATCAATTGTATGTGCTTCGTCCTGGAATGAAAAGGCGGATTCTTTGCTAGAAGGATAACACTTTGACTGTCGCAATACAAGACATTGTTTTCTTGTTTCTTGCCTAACTCTTCCAAGAAACTTTGGAGCCAAACCATCTCCTTGCTAGCTTCCGTAACAACGACATATTCTGCTTCAGTTGTGGAGAGAGCAACTATCTTCTGTAGTTGAGAAACCCAACTCACTGCAGTTCCTCCTAGAATATAGACATACCTTGTAGTGCTCCTTTTGATGTCAATATTTCCGGCTAAGTCAGCATCTACATAGCCTGTCAATATCGTATCTCCACCTTTGAAACAAAGTGCTTTGTTTGTAGTACCCCGCAGATATCTGAGGATCCATTTGACTGCTTCCCAGTGTACCTTGCCCGGATTATTCATGTACCTGCTAACAGCTCCCACTGCTTGAGCAATATCTGGTCTGGTACAAACCATGTCATACATTAGACTTCCAATTGCTGAGGTATACGGCACCTTCACCATGTGTGCACGTTCTTCCTCCGTCTTTGGTGACTGTTCTTTGGAGAGTCTAAAATGAACACCTAAAGGTGTACTTACTGGTTTAGCATCTTGTATGTTGAACCTGGAGAGTACTTTGTTGATGTATTCAGCCTGTGATAACATCAAAGTTCCCGACTTTGTGTCTCTCTTGATCCTCATCCCAAGAATCTGCTTTGCAGTGCCAGATCCTTCATAGCAAACTGCTTCGACAATTTTTACTTCAAGTGTATAATCTCTTGCATGTTTGAGCCTGCAACGAGCATGTCATCAACGTACAACAATAAAATAATAAAGCTATTGTCAAACTTCTTGATGTAGCAACAATGATCTGCTTGGCATCTGGTAAAACCACTGCTACCCATGAAGCTATCGAACTTCTTGTACCACTGTCTAGGAGCTTGTTTTAAACCATACAAGCTCTTCTTCAACCTGCATACAATGTTTTTCTTGCCTGCCTCTATGAAGCCTTCTGGCTGCCTCATATAGATTTCTTCCTCCAAATCACCATGAAGGAAAGTTATCTTTACATCTAACTGCTCAAGATGTAAATTCTCTGCAGCTATAATTTTCAATACCAGTCTGATTGTAGACAGCTTCATGACTGGAGAGAAAATTTCATTGTAGTCAATACCTTCTTTTTGTTGAAAACCTTTAACAACCAATCTCGCTTTGTAGCGTTTGCTTCCATCGTGCTCTTCCTTGATCCTGTAAATCCACTTGTTGTGGAGTGCTTTCTTGTCTGGTGGTAATTCAGCTAATTCTCACGTCTGATTTGACATAAGCGAGTCCATCTCATATTTCATGGAAGACTCCCACTTGACTGAATCCTCTACTTGCATTGCTTCATTATAGCACTCTGGTTCACCATTGTCAATCAGCAATAAGTAGTGCAAAGAAGGGGAATACCGTTGGGTTGGTTTAGGAATTCTGAATGAGCGTCTCAGTTCTGGTGTGGCTGGTTCTTCTTGAACTGCTTCAGGATTGATCTGAACATCATTTCTAGAAATCTCCTCGAACTCAGCAAATTCTTTTGTTTCAGCTTCGGTATTGGAGCTACTTGATTCTACAGTTGAACTGTCTTTGTTCATCACATTCTCATCACATTCTCATTGAAAATGACATCTCTGCTTCTGATGATCTTTCAATTTTCGTAGTCCCAAAATCGGTAACCGAACTCATCACCGCCATAACCAAAAAAGGCACATTTGTTGGACTTAGCATCAAGTTTACTTATTTCAGCAGAGTCTATGTATACATAAGAAATACAACCAAACACTCTTAAGTGTGAAAGGTTTATTTCTTTCTTCCTCCAAACTTCTTCTGATATTCTGCCATCTAAAGGAACTGAGGGCCCACGGTTGATTAAGTAAGCTGCAGTGTTGATAGCTTCAGCCCATAGAAATTTGAGCAATCCGGCATGTATCCTCATGCTTCTGGCACGTTCATTCAGAGTTATGTTCATGCGCTCTGCTACACCATTCTATTGCGGTGTCATGGGAACTGTTGTCTCCATCTTGATCCCATTGTTTGCGCAAAATTCTCTGAATCTATTATTTTTGTACTCTCCTCCATTATCAGACCTCAACCGCTTAACTTTCAGATCAGTCTCATTTTCCACCATGACCTTCCATTTTCTGAAGGTATCAAAGACTTCTGATTTTTTTCTTTAGAAAATAAACTCACGCATTCCTTGTAGAATCATCGCTGAAGGTGACATAATATAATGAGCCTGCAAGAGATGGAACTGGAGATGGTCCCTATACATCAGTATGAACCAACTCTAACTTTTCAGCCTTGGGTGTCTTACCAATCTTTGCAAAACTGACTTTCTTTTGTTTGCCAAAGATGCAATCCTCGCATAGTCCGATATCTACATTCTTTAGATCAAGCAGCTTCCCTTTTGACAAAAGTCTCTTCATCCCTTTCTCGCTCATATGGCCAAGCCTTTGGTGCAATATGTTTGATTTTCCATCAGCATCTGCTACTACAATGATATTCTCTAAGTTTGAGGTTACATAGAGAGTATCAGTCTTCTTACCACGAGAAATGACGAGTGTTCCTTTTGTAATCTTCCATTCACAGCCTGAAAAGGTTGTACTATAACCTTCTTCATCAAGCTGTCCTACAGAAATCAAATTTCTTTTTAGGCCAGGAATATGTCTCACACCTTTCAGCGTCCAGGTGGTATGATTTGGCAGCTTTAGTCGGATGTCTCCTCTTCCGACGATCTTCAAGGTTTCATCATCAGCTAGATGAACCTTCCTAAAATCACCACTGACATAGTTCTCCATGATTTCTCGACATGGGGTGGAGTGGAAAGATGCCCCTAAATCCAAGATCCATGATTCAATCGGACTGTTGACACTTAGAATCATGGCATCACCTGTCTTCTTTGTCATGTTGGTAGATTCCTGTACGCCGGTATTTTTCTTCGGTGCTCGGTAATCTCTTTTAAAGTGACCCTTCTTGCCGCAGTTATAACAGGTAAAATCTTTCTTCCCCGTTCTTGATTTTTCCCTTCTGGATTTAGATCTACCACGATTTGAATTTCTTTCTGAAGTTCTCCCTCTGGACTCCGTGTGCAAGGCTGAGGAGGTTGATGCTTCACCCGATTCTCTCCGTCGAATTTCTTCGCTCAGTACCAGATCCCGAACATCATCGAATTTTAATTTGTTGTTTCCCGACGAGCTGCTGACTGCTGTAACAGTAGCATTCCAACTGTCTAGTAGAGATGATAAGAGAATTAAAGCTCGAACTTCATCATCGAATTCAATTTCCACGGAACTCAATTGGGTTGTGATTGTGTTGAGTTCATTTAGGTGTTGAGCCACTGATGCCCCTTCCGCTATCCGTAAATTGAATAATCGCCTCATCAAGTGAACTTTGTTTGAGGCTGATGGCTTCTCATACATACTGGAGAGAACCGCCATAAGACCCGCCATGGTCTTTTCCTTTGCTATGTTGAAAGCAACATTGCGGGACAACGTCAGTCGAATAACTCCGAGGGCTTGTCTGTCAAGAAGAGCACAGTCTTCATTCTTCATGCCCTCTGGTTGCTTTCCTGAGAGAGGTTGATATAGATTTTTCTGGTACAGAAAATCTTCAATTTGCATCTTCCAAAAGCCAAAGTTCGCACCATCGAACTTTTCAATTTTCACATTCCCTTCGTCTACAGCCATCGCTCCTACTCGAGTCTGGATTCGTTTGGATCGTTTCTGACAATTCTTGCGAACCACCGTGTATTAGAACACCTCCGTCGACAAATTTGTATCGCCGACAAAATGTTTACTATTCATAAAATTTACTATTCATGTGAATATTAATGAATAGTAACCTTACAAAAATTGACAAAATTTACAACCAAAAACTCTGATTACCAGTTGTTGAGAAATAAAACGAGAACAAGTAATTTCCCTATAACCATATTAGTGAGAATGCAAAATAAAAGCGGAAAAATAATACCCGAAATTGATAACGGAGTTCAGCCAATTTTGCTTACGTCTCTGGACTGCTGCAGATCTTTTACTAAGAGAGAAAATTTACAGGTGTTTACAAAAAACTCAATACTCACAAGAAAACTCTCTAGTATTGGGAGAAAGAAAATGATTTTGAGATTTGGGATGATTTTGAAGCTAAATGAGCTAGGGTATTTATAGTTGAAACTTAGGGACTAATCTTTGAAAATACCCTAAAGTGCAATGACTAAAGTGAATTTACTCATTCCTATTTTCAACAAACATCTACCAAACTTTGAAAAACATTTTTCAAAGAAACATTTACCAAACTTTGAAAAACATTTTCAAAGAAACATTTACCAAACTTTGAAAAACAATTTTCAATGTTGGTTGCCAAACTTTAAAACTAACTTTTAAAAATCATTTCTCACATGCATCACAAAGCAGCACATTTTCCACTTCATTATTGGAAAGTTTGCACGTTTAGCAAGCCACTGCCTTATTCATATACTCTCTAGAAGGAGTCCAGGTAGGATGTGTAGGAGGCTTCGGTTGTAACAACTTTTGAACAATTCGAGCAATTTCATTGTGATTATTAGTAAATGGAGGAGCTTGAGTAAAATTCACACCTTGCACGCAAAGTTATCAAAGGCTCAAGGCGTATCGAGGCGCAAAGTGTCCTGGAGCCTTGAGGCGCGAGGCGCATGAAAGGAGCGGGATTCACGAAGGCGATGCGCATGATATCCAAAAAATTGTAACACATGTATATATTAATGCAATCAAACTCAAATATCATAGATACCCAATATTAGGCTTCAATAAAGTTTATTCTCAAATTCAAAATACCAACCTAACGTCATAAAAGTTATCAACAAGCATAATCAAGTACTAAGTTTAACAAAAACATTCAACATGCAAAAACAAAACATCAAATAAAGTCACTGATAATCATCATCAAACATCAAACTAATCCTCATCATCATCGTCAAGTGGTATGTCATCATCTTCCTCCTCATCCGTCTCGCAATCCCCAATGTCTTCTTCTTCAGTGTCACTCTCCTCTAGCATAACAACTTCATCATCTTCATCATCTTCATCTACAAGGTATGGTCTAGCTTTTTCTTTTCCTTTCGAGCTTGAACTAGCAACGTTCTTTCTTTTAGTATTATGGTCACGCTCATAAGCTCCGGAAGCTATACCAACATCCTTCCATGTCAAATCGTCATCATCAAACACATAATCTTCATTTTCTTCTTCATCCTCATCCATTCTACCAAACAACCATTTGTTACTTTCATCAATGTCATCCAAAGAGATTGGATCAATGACATCACGATGATTATAACGCCGCTTTAACGCTCAATTATATTTCACATAGACTAAATTATTGAGCTGAGTTTGCGCAAGTCGGTTTCTTCTTTTGTTATGAAGCTGCCAAATTATAACAAAATAATCAAGAGTCAAAAAAATTACTTATGATGTTTCTTAAATAATATCTGAGTTACTTACGAGGCTAAAAATACTCCAATTTCGCTCACAACCACTTGCACTACATGTAAGGCTGAGGACTTTGATGGCAAACTTTTTTAATTCTGGTGCATCATTGCCAAAAGAAGCCCACCACTCGACTGTAAACATATATTTTAGAACAAGTTTTAGAACAAGCAAAAATTAAATTTGATTTATATTATTTTATATATATATAAAGAAAGTAACCTTGTGACTTTGCTTCTCTTTGACGTATGCATATTACCATCCCAAATATACCTTCGGCGTTCCTATAAAGTGACAATTGGTCCTCTATTTTACCTTGATAAACAACACTCGGCAATAATCTCTCAATGCATTTAAGCAACCCGATCATCACCTCCTTATCCTCTTGAATTTGGGGATTTGAGTAGAATAACTGAGGATTCAAATAACACCCGGCCGCGTGTAATGGTTGATGGAGTTGGCATTCCCACCTTTTGTCAATAATTGCAAACACATCTTTGTACTTGTCCTCCACATTATTAAAGGAGTTTGCAATTGCTTCTTTTGCCCTATCCATGGCCTCATATACATAGCCCATGGCCGGCCTTTTTTCACCATCAACTAACCTAAGCACTTCTACGATGGGACCCGTCATCTTAAGGATATACACAATTGTACTCCAAAAGGTAGGCATCAAAACAATGGATGCGACTCTTTTACCGCCATGCTCTTTTGAGTATTTACTCTTCCTCCATTCATCAGAAGTAAACATCTTTCTAAGGTTTGCCTTTTGAACTTGTATTGAATGAAGAGTGATGTAAACGGTTTCAAATCTGGTTATCGCGGGTCTCACCAACTCTCTCTTTTCCCGGTAAACTTCCTCATCATGTTTACAATACCTGTATGGCTATATATAAACCCGTTTATGGCCATTGCTCTCTTCAACGTGACACGAACTTTTGAAATCTTTCCTATGTCGTCAAGCATCAAATCAAGACAATGAGCAGCATATGGAGTCCAGTATAAATGTGGACGTTTCACCATCAATAAACGTCCTATAAAGATATAAAAAATTAAAATAGTATAAAACTTCAAGTCTTATATAATTATATAAATATATACAAATATAATAATTTAATGTGGACGTTTCATCACCTGCTGCTATATATGCAGAAGCATTGTCGGTTACCACCTGAACGACATTCTTCTCACCAACCTCCTCAACCATATCATCAAGCATAATAAACAATTGTTCGGTATTCTTCACAATGTCCGAAGCATCAATTGATTTGATAAAAACCGACCCTTTTGGAGAATTGACTAAAAAATTGATAATGTCTTTGTGTGCAACCGAGTCTCTCCATCCATCTGACATGATTGAGCAACCATATTTAGCCCAATGCTCGTGATGTACTTGTTTCACCATCTCATCGGTTGCCTTAACCGCTTTAGTTAAAAAAGGAACTCGGATTTCGTGGTACGTAGGAGGTTTAAAACCCGTCCCACATTGCGCCACCGCTTCCATTGCTACTTTAAAACTATCATAATTTGCTGCATTAAACGCCAATCCAGCATCAAAGAACCAGTTTGACAACTCCATACATGCTTTCTCCCGTAGTTGTTTTTTACATGCTTCATTGATGCTTGGTTGCTTCATTTTCCCATCTTTTCTGTTTTTCACAACTTGTTCGGGTGGTGGGGTGAAAAACATATCAATTGGTCCTTTAATGCCATTTTGCTTCTTTGATGCTTTACTAGTACTATTACCACTTTTGCGAACACATGTACCAACTTCATCATCCTCGTCATCCCCAAAGTTGTCTACATCATCAAAATCATATAAAACTTCCGCTTCTTTTTTATTTTGACACTTTTTCTCCATGTATTCTCTAATCTCCTCGCGTACATGAGCTGGACATTTTAGACATCTTGTACTATTCCGGTATCCACCCACTATATGTTGTTTAGCCCTATAAATACCTCCGGAAGTGATTTTGTCACAAAACATACATTTTACTTTACCTTTGCCCATGTCAATGCAATACTTCCAAGCTATATCTTGCTTTGAAGAAGTTGATGACTGATTTTCAGAAGTCATAATGTCAAATCAGATTTTCCAAAAGCAAAATATTGATGATTAACAGTTGCAATATTGTGCCAGAAGCCAGAAAAATGAAAACAGAAAATTAAATAAGAGAAATTGTGATTATCAAGAACAGACACATACGCAAACGAATAACTGCATACTTAAAAAAGGAAAAAAAACAAGAACAGACACATACGAAATTACGAATAACTGTATACTTAGAAAAGAAAAGAAAAAAAACAAGAACAAACACATACGCACGAATTGTGGTGATTATCAAGAGAATTTGATTCAGAAAAACAAAATTCTTTCAACACAGATGGTTAACAGTATAAATCGAAAGATCAATCGAAGAACAGAATCACTTACGGGAAGAATTGAATGTGTGAATCGATTAATCGAATTGTTGCTACTTTCTTGTTCAACGTCGCAGTCTCCAGTCGAAGAAAATGAGGAAGCGAATGATCGATAGATTAGTATGTATGGATTAGAAGGCCGATTGACAATAGATTGAAGGTTTTAAATAAGAAAATGAGACTCTTACGTGTAGTTAGAGCCTTAAAAGACAAATCAAATTCAAATAATAATAAAATATTTTCTTTAAAAAAATTAAAATGAAGATAAGATAGGATAGGATAAGTTTATTTTGAAATTTAATATTAAAATTTGTGTTTTGTGAAATATTATTATTTAAATTAGTATAATGTAAATTTCAGAATAATTAAATTAGATTTCAAAATAAATAAATTTAATTATTTTAGTAAAATTCAAATAATTTAAGTATACATACTCACAAAACTTTTAAATCATAGATTTATATCCTTCACTTAGTTATTAATCAGTAAGTTAATTAAACATTCTTTTTAATCTATGCTAATACATAGAAGTACCATTTCTTTCCAAGTTTCATCAGTTAATCGCAATACATTTCTATTATAGGTTTGCTTAATTTTTAGACTGTCACAAATTTTGATGAGCGAAAAAGAAAATATCAAATACTGATAGATAAATAAACTTAAGTGAAGAAAGGACCAAAAACGATTACAAAGCTTATTTGTTTGAAACAACATAACGAAAATGGTCGTTCATTTTTGCGGACCATGCATGCATAGAAGAGAAGGCCCTGAGTAATAATTACAAGGTTTTAAGCCCACATCGCGCCTCAATTGCGCCTCGACTGAGCCTCGCGCCTCAGAGCCTCACGCCTCATAGCCTCGTTGCGCCTAGGCTACGTGCCTCGCTTCATTGTTGAAAAAGCCCCGTCCAGTGAGCCTCTGCGCTTTTGCGCCTCAGACGCGCTTTTTACAACTATGCTTGCACGGGCTGGTGCACACTTGGAAAAGTTCCAGACGCAGTTTGAGAGATGAATGGTCTAAAAGTTTGATCTCTCACTGCTTGAGAAGTCATCTGTGCCGTAGTTGAACCAGTACTTCCTTCAACCTTGGTCGGATGATGAGTCAAAACCTTGTTCTCTTGCCCAGATTTAGCTAATGCTGCAGGTTGAGCTTGCATAGACCAAGAAGGAGCATTTGCGAGTGAATGGATTGCTGAAGAATTAGCTGAAACAGACAATACTGACATAAATCTGGAGGTGATGCACGGACAAAGATGCTTAAATGTTCGACAGAACCAAGGGAGAGAATAGTACCAATACAAGTGCAAAATTTTGGGTAAAGAAACCATATTATTAGAATTTGCTAGACTATAGCATTGATCATTTCATAATCATCATAGAACAGAACTGCAAGCCAAAAAAGCCATTGCCCCACCCATGAAAAAGGTAGACCATATCATCTAATCTCTCTCAGATGGTACGCAAACAGGCCCATCAGTTCTTTTGCTACCAAGAGATGAAAACCTGGTTGAAGAGAGAATTACCTGGTGGATAGGAAACATAAGAAGCCACGTTTGATCCTCCATCCAACTTAATTTGTGGTCTCTCAACCCTGGGATACGGAAACGAAGACGAATTTCCTAGATGGCCACCCGGTAGCCCAAGCAGACATTGTAGCCATTTTTACGTCTCCGGTGGGCAATTGATGCTGTAATGGAGTTGAACCTGCTGCTGTAACAGAAGACACAGTTGCATGAATTGGTCGATCTGATGGTAAAATGCGAACTGCATGTGTCCCTCCATGGTTTTCAGCTGATCCACCAACACTATTTTGCACTGACTGAGATGTATATGTAGCAGGTGTAGTGAATTTCTTGGGTTCTTCCAACTGAAAAGCATTAAGGTAATCAAACACTCAAATTCAAATAAATCACCAAGTAATTTTAATAACCATCAACTTTTCCATCATTTACCACGTCCAACAAAAAAATGTTCTTTAGATCAAGTCAAGCTACATCTGCATAAACAGCTAAGAAGTTGGCAGTACATAGATCATGGAAAGAAGCATTCAGTAACCAAAATTCAATATTACATTTATAAACATCATAAGAATGCTACAAAGTTTAAGAAGCAAAGGATGTGTCCTTCGAATAGCATAATTGATATAGCATTCTTGCTAAAAACCCATCAAGCTGTTCAAGAAGCTCAATATAATGTTACAATAACACTTGATTTTCTTTGAAATACCGTGTTCGAAAAATGTTTGGCATAAGCATGGGAGAATGATCCTCCAAATATATGAAGAATCAAATGCAGCTTTCAATCTATACTTAGCAGCCACTTTAAGCCATGTTCATGAACCTAGAAAGTAACAGCTATGCCGAAAACAATATCGACGAAAAATGACTAAAAGATGCCAACAGTTAATAAAATCCATGTATATCTACTTCTATGAGCAATTTAAACAAAATTAAACGTTTCAAAGCTTCACACATAACCATCGATCCTCCAAAAATCACTTTTAAGACCGAGAAATCATTGAATTATCCTATAGATTGAGACGTTCAACTTTCCTAATTACAGGAAAAACTTAATCCCAGGACAAATACTCGTACAAATTGCGACAAAGAAAAACAGCATTAACGTCCACACTCCACCCTATATTTATTGACCAATGAAATTCAAATCCATTAAATAAAAAGATATGAATGTATTCCTGACCAATTAGAAAACAAAATTAATTCCAAAAAATCATCAAAATAATAATAAAAAATGAACCCTTTCCATAATTCCAGGACCCCCTAAACCGACAAAAATATCGTAAATTTAAGAAGATTTTTTACCTTCATTTTAGCAAGCAAAACCTTCTGAGAAAGCGACATTCCCATACCCCTAAACCTTAATCTATGCTCTTTGAGCTTGGAATTAAATCCCAACTCTTCAATCACATTCCATATCGCCTCCCTCCCGACAATATACTTCGGCGCCTTCTCCCCGCAAATCTCCGCCAATGTCTCACGCGCCTCCGCCATCAACGCCATCTCAGCCGGTGTAGGATCCCTACCTCCTCCCCTCATCTTCTCCATCGTCGACAGCACCAGCACAATCTCAGCCAGCCTCATTAATCCCCCGCCGCACCGTTGCTTCTTCGACGCGGAAACATCCCCGTTCTCGATCCCCCGTTTCTCCCCCACCGTTGGAGAAGGCTCAAACGCTGCGTTTTCTTCGACAGCCACCTCGGGATCCATTGTAAACAACATTAATCAAAACCCAGTGTTGTAGACTCGCGATAGTGACCGAAACCAGAGAGAAAGACCGAATGGGAATTTAAGGGAACTGTAGAATTAACAAAAATAAAATAAAATCTCAGGGGGGCTTTTTGGCGGGTAAATTGTGGGAAAGAGAGAAATTTTTAAATAAAAATCTCTACTTGTGAAAGGAGGGGATCGGAGTAAAGATTGAAGCAATGGATGTTGAGAGGAGGAATATAAACGAACCGAATCGAACTTGAGTATTACTGAACTTTATTTAAACTCAAAAACTCTCAATTAAAAAATTCATGAACTAAAAATTATCAAACTCAATTTGAATTTAAAATATAATATTTTAACTTGATTCGAACTTAAAAAAACTCAAACTAAAAAAAAAATCAAAAACTTAATTAAAACTCAAGACTCAAACTCAATTAAAACTCAATTTCAAGCTCAATTTCAAACTCAATTCAAGTTCAATTCAAGCTCGATTTTGAGCTCATAAAATATGTTTTTCCACGTTCAATCCCGCTTCTTTTATAAGCTGCTTCTCGCCTTATTTCTTTAAATCTTTATGATGTGGGATTTAGGCAGCCAACGCATTTCAACTTACTGGTCCTGAAATAGAAAATAGCCGATTGGGGATTGACTTTTCTCCATTTTTCTTCTGCTATAACTTCATGGGTTAAGGAAGATAAATAATCACCAGAAAAAAAATCATTTCTTTTCCTGTCAATAACAATCCTTTAACCCACACGCATATATATATCTTCCCTTTCTTCTTTCAGTCGCACCGACTCGTAACTGTAAAATACTGCCAAACCTTCCAACACATGGAATATTAATCCCTTCACATCCACACAGGTAACCTTCGTATATTCTTAATGAAAGATGAATATATGTGCAAATATCAACAACTATTCAGTTTTACAAATCCATCTCGATTTCAGGAGGAAAATATAAACATGAAAATGCTCAAACAAAACTCTGATTCTGCATACAATTTTTGTTTTACAAACCTCTCGATTTCAATTTTACAAATCCATCTCGATTTTCAAATATATAACTCGGGGTATATTAAACTTCGCTGAATGCCATGATGCAAACAGAAGAACATGAAGGACCACAATTAACTGGCCAGTAACCATTGTAACATGCTGATTTTGGCTAAGGTCAATACTCAGTCCATGCATTTCAATTTGCCCCCCCCCCCCCTCTTTTAACCAAAAAGCTTCCATTTTTGTACTAGGTACAGAGCAGAAAGCTAAAGGATCGGGTTCTTTTATCAATGGAACAATTAAGATTGTTCCAATAACTAAAGTTTAAGACCAACAATTATAACATGTAATTAAGGAATCTTAATACATGTTTTGTTGGCTCAAACCAAAACTAAACTCATATTTTGATAACTGAAATCATATGATTGCCAACGACAAAAAAATCATTCAGATTCTCTTAATCTGCTCTGTCCTGCAGATTGCATTCCGTATGAGACTTTTTTTTCAGTTCGAATATTAAAACTAAGGAGACAAGAAATTATGAAGCAACTGAATTGTCTATTTCATGTAGACAAAGATTTGACATGTCAATTATTTTTTTTAGTAATTAATTTATTGAATCTTTGTTAGCAAGCTCCAAATATAAGTAAATTGGAATCGACATTTTCGGGAGTTCGACATAAAGGCCCCAACACGGCAACAATTAGCCAAATACGGTTGTTCTAGAGTATCCCGTGATCCATGTATTTCTTCCTATGGAACACTATGATCCTATCGTTTTAGTTGTATTTGTACATCAAATTTCCGTTTACATTAGGTCGTCGATTCACTTCTTGAAATATTATATTGGTGAGTCAGTGCTTAAAAGCAATGACGGTGTCAATAGTTATCATTAAGATATAATAAAATCATGTCTCAATCAGCAAGTTGTATATATTTATTTTGCACATTGATATATTTATGTATAAGTATGTGAATGCTTTATTTAGGAATCACATAACATCATTTTGTATAATTTGTATGTTACTTCATATGCATAATCTAACCCCTATCACAAAATGGATTAAGGGTTTAAGGTTTAGGGTTCATTACAAATACATTAATTAATCGACTTAGTACCGATTTATGAGGTAAGTACAATATAACATCTTGATATTAATGCTCAAACCCTTGATATTATGATATTTGAACCCGAAACCTCAAAATATAACAATAATTTAAAAAATTAGTTATTAAAAATATTATTATTAAATATATTAAATATTTGTCATTAGATAAAGAAATTTTAATATATTTTTAAAATTTTATAATTATCAATAATGTATTTTTAATATATTTTTAATAATGTAATTTTAAAAAATTTAAAATTATAATATAACATTTTTTTCGAGTTGCTCACGAACTTTTCGAGTTGCTCACGAGCTTTTCGAGTCGAATATCGAGTAGCTCGTTTCGGCTCGTTAAGAACTCGAGTCGAGCTCGAGCTCGAGTTGAGTCCATTCGATCCGAGTATTTATCGAGCCTTGATCGAGTCGATCTCGAGTAACTCGCGATCTGTCTCGTCTCATTTACAACCCTAGTTGAGAGAGTCGAAATACAAAAAAAAAAGATGGGGGAGTTTTGTGATTTAATTCGAACCGGGCGGCTTACTCAGATCGGACCGGATATGGCCAATTTGGGGATTTTGTTTTTATTGTAAATCTAGGGTTCGGGAGTTATATGGCGATGGGGAAGTGAAAAGGTAAAATATCCCATTTTGGTGTCTATACTTTGACAAAATTATATAATGTAGCACTTGTACTTTTAAAATTTAAATGTAGCACATATATTTTGACAAAATGCATAATATGATACTCAAATTAAAAGTTGTAAAGGTTATGATATTAAGTTAAATCCAATATAAAGTTTATAGAATTTAACTCGAAGGAAATTAAACACAGTGGTGCATTCGCCAAGACCATTAAGCTATAGATTCACTTGTGATGAAAGGTTCTGAGAATAAATAGCAATTTTTATGTTTTTTTACTTCTCTTTCATGTTAATTGTGATTTGGTCCCCTCTATTCTCTTATCCTTTCGCATGCAAACACTGGTCGTCGTAAGACCATTTTCAACCGTCGTTCGATGTTTCCTTTATTGTTGTATTCGAAATGATTTTACTCCAAAGATAGATTTAGTCCTCCTCCTTCGAATGTCACCAACGAAATGTCTCTGCCGTGGATCAAGAAAAAATTGAATGCAGAGACGGTCATGAGCCTTCAAAAATTTTCCTTTTCTTTCATTCTGGCTCTTCTCATTTTTCTTCTCTCTATAAATTTCTTGATTTTTTATGAGAAATTATCGATTGGCATTGATCAACATCGATTATTGACTCGGTTCATGTCTAAATCAAATTGACCTGATCCATTGACCAAATTTGACATAGTATAATTTGACTGAGTTGACATGAGCCGACCCAAACCAAGTCAAGTTGATTCGAGGCACCAAGTCGAACTGAGTCACTAAGTTGTTGACCAATCTTAACTTTGATTGTTGACTAGTGTTGACTTTGATCGTTCACCCATATTGAGTTTAACTGATAAAGAAACTTTGCGAGTTCATCTCACTAATTCAATTTATTTTATTTCAATATTATTTGTATTAACTCATTGAGGATATTCGTTCGAGAATCCATATCAATAGGAGCTTGTCATCAACTCAAATTAAGAGCTGAGTTATACTGTTAATGTGCAAAATTATCTACTTTTTCTTATCATTACAATAACCACGACCATCACGTTATTTAATTGAGATCAACCGCATTCCAAAAACTGTACAAATTTATTTTTAAATTGTTAGAAAATTGGACTGTTGCGAAATATTGATGTTAACGGAAAAAATAATTCAAATGAGTATTATCGTGGGAGAATAACTATCTTAAAAATAATTTCGTTTTGAGTAATGTTTCGACTCTTTGATATCCGTACACTTGAATATCAAAGTGGAAATTGAATGATATTATTATTCTCGATAAATAAAAATATAACTAAAAAAGTATTTTCCTTGTTGAAATTTGATGTTAAAAAATATTAGAAAAATCTTATTCGTGTAAAATTTAGAGGATATTGTAGTATATAGTTAAAGTGAAATAAAAATATAAACGGGACTATCAAAGTTATTTTTTTTTGTTGTCTTCTCATTTCAAAGTTTTACATTGACTTATGTGGACTGACATGCGTCACACATTTAATTTTGACAGGTAAGTCTCATAATAGAGATTTTGTGCATACACAAGAACTCAAAATCTCTTCCATATATATTATCTAGCTTTTGTCTGGCTTTCTCCTCAAATTCCGTTTCTTTTAATTTAATTAAAGATACATAAGATAGTAAAGAGGTTTTTTTTAGCCCAATAATTCAAATAGGTGGATTATTTAGCCCAATAAAATATCTGAAATTTTATTTGGAATCTACGACAAATGCTCCAATAGCTATGGAACTTGTCATGGCAGCGTGACGAGTTCCATGAGAAATATTTTTAATGGACCGTGTCACGTGGGTTCCACTACTCGAAAATTTTAAAATCATTGTAAAAAAATATATTATTTTATTACTGAAGGAACTCGTCTCGCTGCTGTGGCAAGTTCCAACAAGTATGATTTTGAATTTGTTGATTGTTGGATTGACTGTTGTTGAACGGTCAATTTTAAAAAAAAATCAATAGAACTCGTCAAGCCGGTGTGACGAGTTCCAACATCTATTTTCAATTTGAAAAAAAAAACTAGTCATTTATAGTCGTTGGGTAGAGTATTATAAATAGAGGTTTGAGATAGATTGATTTTTGTTTGAGAGTAAAAACTTTTGTGTTGAAGATTTTGAGTTGAAATGATCTCAAGAGAAGAAATGTTACATCTTGATGATGCTCATATTTATTTCGACCGAGTTGAATACGGTAAATTTAATTTGTTTTATTTCATTTTAGTTTTGACAAAATTATATTATTATTAATAATTATTTATGTAATTGTATTAAATAATTTATTTTAAAATTGTAGCGAGAAGAACGAGACATTCATCATCGAGAAATGACAAATGAAGAGCCACATCAGCA